ATTGTTTATATACTTTTTTGTTTTGTTTTTCAGATTTAAAAAAAATTCTTTATTGTTTAAAGTATTACATATGTGTTCTTTTCTCCCCCTTGACCTCTCCCCAGCCACTCCCACTCTCAGCACATGCCCTCACCCCCTACTGTCTGTGTTCATTGGTTATGCTTATATGGATGCATACATAACATTTGGTTGATCTATTAACCCCCATGTTACCCACCATCTCTCTAAGGTGGGGTGGTCTGTTCAATGCTTCTATGTCTCTGGATCTATTTTTTATCATCAGTTCATGTTGTTCATTATATTCTACAAATGAGTGAGATCATGTGATATTTATCTTTTCTGACTGGCATAATGCTCTCCAGGTCCATCAAAGCTATTGCAAATGGTAAGAGTTACTTCTTTTTTTTTTTTTTTATAGCAGCATAGTATCCATTGTGTAGATTGTACTACAGTTTTTTTTTAATCCACTCGTCTGCTGATGGACACTTAGGCAGTCTCTAAATCTTAACTATTGTAAACTGTGCTGCTATGAACATAGGGGTACATATATCCTTTCTGATTGGTGTTTCTAATTCCTTGGGATATATTCCTAGAAGTGAGATTACTGGGTCAAATGGGAGTTCCATTTTTAATTTTTTCACACCAGTCTGCATTCCCATCAGCAGTGCACAAGGGTTCCTTTTACTCCACATCCTCTCCAGCACTTGTCATTTGTTCATTTGTTGATGATAGCCATTCTGAGAGGTGTGAGATGGTACCTCATTGTCATTTTGATTTGCATTTCTCAGATGATTAGTGACCTTGAGCATGTTTTTGTAAGTTTCTCCGCCTTCTGTATGTCTTCTTTCAAAAAGTGTCTATTTAGGTCCTTTGCCCAATTTTTGGTGGGATTGTTTATCTTCCTTTTGTTAAGTTGATGAGTTCCCTATAAATTTTGGAGATTAAAACCTTATCTGAGACAGCTTTGGCAAATATGTTCTCCCATGCAGTGGGCTTTCTTATTGTTTTGTGTATGGTTTCTTTGCTGTGAAGAAGCTCTTTATTTTGCTGTAGTTCCATTTGTTTATTTTGTCCTTAGTCTCCATTGTCCTAGGACCTGTGTCTGTAAAGATATTGCTATGACATATGTTTGCTATTTTGCTGCCTATGGAGTCTTATAAGTTTTTTATGGTCTTACATTTAAGTCCTTTATTCATTTTTAGTTTATTTTTGTGCATGGTGTAAGTTGGTGATCTAGTTTCATTTTTTTTTTTTTTTTTTTTTTGGTATATCTGTCCAATTTTCCCAACACCATGTATTGAAGAGACTGTGTTGACTCCATTGTATTCTCTTGTCTCCTTTGTCAAATATTAATTGGGCATAATGGCTTGGGTCAATAGCTGGATTCTCTATTCTGTTCCATTGGTCTATGTATCTGTTCTTGTGCCAGTACCAGGCAGTTTTGAGAACCGTGGCTTGGTATTATAGCTTGATATCTGGTATTGTAATCCCTCCAACTTTGTTCTTCTTTCTCAGGATTGCTGTGACTATTCGGGATTTTTTTCATTCCAGATAAATTTTTGGAGAGTTTGTTCTAGGTCTGTGAAATATGCTGTTGTTATTTTAGTAGGGAATGCATTGAATATATAGATTGCTTTGGGTAGTGTGGACATTTTAATGATGTTGATTCTACCAATTCATGAACACAGTATGTTCTTCCATTTGTTTATGTCTTTCTCTATCTCTTTTTTCAATATCCTATAGTTTTCTGATTATAGTTCTTTTACCTCCTGAATTAAGTTTATTCCTAGGTATCTTAATTTTTTTTGGTGCAATGGTAAATGGGATTTTTTGTTTGTTTGTTTCTCTTTTTGAAAGTTCATTGTTGGTATATAAAAAAAAACATAAATTTCTGGTTGTTAATTTTGTATCCTGCTACATTGCCCAATTCATTTATTAAGTCTAGTAGTTTTTTTTTTTTTTTTTTTTTTTTTTTATGGAGTCTTTGGGGTTTTCCATGTACAATATCATGTCATCTGCAAATAACAGTTTTACTTCTTCTTTTCCAGTTTGGATGCCTTTTATTTCTTCTTCTTGTCTGATCTCTATGGCTAGCACTTCTGGTACTATGTCAAACAAGAGTGGTGAAAGTGGGCATCTCTGTCTTGTTCCTGTTCTTAGGTTAAATGGTTTTAGTTTTTGCCTGATGATTATGATATTGACTGTAGGTTTGTCATATAAGGCTTTTATTATATTGAGGTATGATCCCTCCATTTCTACTTTCTGAGAGTTTTTATCAGAAATGGTTGTTGGATTTTGTCAAATGATTTTTCTGCATCAATTAATATGATTCTGTGATTTTTGTCTCTCAATTTATTTATGTGATGTGTAACATTTATTGATTTGTGGATATTGTACCATCCTTGCATCCCCAGAATAAATCCCACTTGGTCATGATGTAATGCTTTTTAATGTAATGCTGGATCCAATTTGCTAGAATTTTGTTGAGGATTTTAGTATATACGTTCATCAGGGATATTGGCCTGTAATTTTCTTTCCTTGTGATGTCTTTATCTGGTTTGGAGATTAGGGTAATGCTGAATTCATAGAAAAAGCTTGAAAATATGCCTTCTTCTTGAATTTTTTATTGTTTATATTTATATTGTTTATATTTATATTGTTATTATTTATATTGTTTATATTGGTTAATTTTTATTTTTTTCTTCTTCTTTCTCTTCTTAAAGAATACCTTTCAACATTTCATGTAATACTGGATTGGTGGCTATGAACTTCTTTAGCTTTTTCTTATCTTTGAAACTCCTTATCTGACCTTCAATTCTAAATGATAGCTTTGCTGGGTAGAGTAATCTTGGTCCTTGCTATTTGTCACTTTGAATATTTTTTGCCACTCCCTTCTGCCCTACATAATTTCTGTTGAGAAATCAGCTGACAGTCATATAGGCACTTCCTTGTATGTAATTAACTGCTTTTCTCTTGCTGCTTTTAAGATTCTCTCTTTGTCATTAGCCCTTGGCATTTTAATTATGATGTGCCTTGGTGTGGTATGCTTTGGGTTCTTCTTGTTTGTGACTCTCTGTGCTTCCTGTACTTGTAAGTCTATTTCTTTCACTAGGTAGGGGAAGCTTCCTGTCATAATTTCTTCAAATAGATTTTCAATATCTTGCTCTCTTTCTCCTGGCACCCCCATAATTCAGGTGTTGGTACACTTGAGTTGTCCTAGAGGCTCCTTCATATTTTTGAATTCTTTTTTTTTTCTTTTTGCTCTTCTGATTGGATGTTTTTTTGCTTCCTAATATTTCAAATCATTGATTTGATTCTTGGAATCCACCTCTGCACCCACTACCAGTTTCAGTGTGCTTTATTCTTTACTTCTCTAGTTGTAGGGTTTCCATTCAGCCAGCTTTCAGGTGGTTCTGGATGATGATTGTTCTGTATTTTAGTTGTAATTTTGATGTGGTTTCAGGAGGCAGTGAGTCCAGGCTATGCTGCCATCTTAGTTCTCCAATATTTCTCTCTTAATTTTTATTTTTAAAAAATGTATTTTGATTGATTTCAGATAGAAAGGGAGAAGGAGAGATAGAAATATCAATGATAAGAGAGAATCATTAATTGGATCCCTCCCACATACTGGGGATCTAGCCTGAAACCTGGGCATGTGCCCTGACTGGGAATCAAACCGTGATCTCCTGGTTCATAGGTTGATGCTCAACCACTTAGCCACACTGGCTGGGCCCCACTTTTTTGTTATGTACAGGATGATGCTCCAACAAAGACACACCAGCCAGGGCTCATCTTTAATATTTCAATGAACAAATACATTCATGTAACTTACTGTTGCCCTTTTTGGTTTCATAACCTGTAGTCATGCAGTTATTAGCTTTCATCTTTCAGAATATAGTGACTAAAGATATTTTCTTTCCCATATCCACTTCTATAAACATTTATTAATTACCATAGCTGCTCTGTCATCCAGTCAGGCATTTGGGGGAACTAAAAAGGCCTAGGCCAGCATGCAGAATGTTGAAGCAGAATGGGAGAGAGGAAAGCATTATAATCATACCTATAATGAAGGCAGAACACAAGAGGGAAGTTTCAAAGGCATACAAACCGATTGTGTCTGTTCTGTAAAGTCCTGCAGGGGCTTCCAAATATCTTCAAGATTAACAGTGGTCTTGACATGCAAGTCCTCCAAGATTTGTTACTATGTTCCCTCTTATCTTCTGAATGCCAGCCATGGAGAACTCTTTCAGATCCTGGACGGTGACGCTGCTTCTCTCTGGACACTTGCCCTTGCAGTTACGATGCCTGGACACTATCACTCCTTCCCTGACAAATGCCTCCCATATTCAGCTATGTGCTCAGACCCAGGCCAGGTTAGACACTCTTGTCAAGCCTCCCAAAGCATCCCGAGGGCTCCTTTTCTAACGACCATTACATTTCATGGTGATATTGCCTTCCTGCCCTTGATGCCCACATGCTCCCCAGTAGGAACTCCATGCTGTGTTCCCTGCCAGGTGTCCCTTGCCAAAGACAGAGCCTGGATCACCCTGCATTCAAGAAATGTTGTGGGATGAATAAATGAATGAATAGAATGAGAGATACGTGGATAAGAAGTATAGACAATGTGTTTTTAGGGTTTCAGGGGGGAGAATGGGGATTTAGTTGGTGAGATCAGGACATTTTCCCTTGGGAGCTGCTATCCGCACTACTACTTCACTGCATGGAAAGACAGAGGGGCCAAGACATTTTGGATAACCATCAGCATAAAGGAGAGTGTGGAAAGCCAGAGGCAGGGGCAAGTTAGGGCAATGGAGAGTCATCCAATTCGGCAAAAGTCTGGGAAGGATGCGAGGCAGAAAAGGAAAAGAGCATTTTATAGTAGGGAGGCTATTTTGTAGGTAGGTGAACTCAATTATCATTTAATAAATATATATATATATATATATATATATATATATATATATATATATATTTTTTTTTTTTTTCTTTTTTTTTTCTCTAGATGTGTCCCACAAGTTTGTCTCCTCGGTGATTGTCCACAGGACTCGGAGACGCAGTAGGAATATGTGGCGCAGACTCAAGGCCCGGCTCTCTCTCCAATGGTGTGGAAAGGAGCAGGTACATCCTGGGGCTGAACCCTGTGTTCCCCTAGTCGCCTGGATGGAGCCTCAGAAAGTGACCCTTGGAGGTACCCAGGCTGGGTTAAAAACTATTTTTAAATGAAACAAGGCACTTCATGAAATACTGAGCCTCCCACCACTGCAAACATTTAAGCCAAGATCTGATTACCATCTGCCCCCGAATACAGAGCTAGGTGGTCCTGCACTGGATCAGAGTCTAGACTAGACAATGATTTAATTTGATTAAAGTCTCCTCCTCATGTAAGATCAGAAAAAGAAAACTAGTGGGATCGCTTCTGAAGGACCTTGTCTGCAGGTTTGGGGCCTGGGAGGATGTCAGCCAAGAGAGGAGGAGGGAGCTGCATCTTGCTGGGAGAAGAGAGGGCTGGAACTGTGGTGTGAGTGACATCACTGAGGGAAGGAGTGTGAAAAGCCTGAAGGCAGGAACAGGAGGTGCTCCTGGACGGCGGCAGGTGGGGGATATGCAGAAGGAGAGGCTATTCTGTGCGCTCAGGCCCACCAAAGACAGGGCAGTGGGCTGTACTCAGAGGCTCATCGCCTCACCTCTGAGAAAGCAGTTTCCAGAGAGCCACCGGAGAGACCAATGGAGAAGGTGAGGGCGAGTAAGGGAGGGGGGATGCGAAGGTGACTGTAGTTTTCAGAAGTTGGATGGTTCATGTAGAAGAAGTGGGTGAAGGGAAAGGGCTTCGGTTTCATTTTAGTAGAGAGTAAACATGATCCCTTTTAAACACGAGGAAGGAGGCACAATTAGGGGAGAAGAAGCCAACGAGGGTGGGCAGAGAGGTGATAGACTGTGGTTGGTGAGGAGCACTAGGGGAGAGGTTGGCTGTGGCAAAGAGAACAGTGCCATCTTTTGCAGAGTCTGCAACATTAGAGAAGAGGAAGATGAGGATTCAGAGAGATGGGCCGGCCAAAGCAAGATAACAAGATCCAGCGAGCTCAGTGAAATTAGAGATGAAGTTATTCTTAAGAGTGGAAAACAGAGAATGGCCAGGAGTCTTCAGACAATGGGAGAGATCTGGAGGCATTTGAGAGCAGAAACTGAACTGAAGAATTACCAAGTGTCTGTGGGGACGCATGCAGACAGTGGGTTTGTGGCTTTTCTTCACCGTGCTCCTGCTCCGCAGCAGAAAAGGAGGAGGTGAAGTCAAGCCACATTGGTTTCCCTGTGTAGAAGTCATCAAAAAGGGAGAGGTGAGTGAACTCACAAGGTGAGCGATGGGATGAGAAGCGAGGAGGAGGAAGATAGCACACTTAAGGTGAGGAAGCAGGAAGGAATGTGTTTGTGATGAACCTCCTGTAGCAGGTGGATCTAAGGCTTCCGTAATGACTTGGGGCTCTGTTCTCGATGCCAGGCTTCCACATGGCACAGGGGCCGGACACTTGGACTCTGTCAGTGGTGGGGACAGCCTGGTCATGGAGGTAAGGTTTGGGGAAGATGAGAAGTAAGATGGCAGATGCCTGGGTGAACCAAGAGGATGGCCCACACTTTGGGGATCTCAGAATGACTTGGAGGAATCCAAGGTGGTCTGGAATTCCCAATAAGACTGAAGCCAGAGACTATAGTCTTTTAAGATTTCTATTGTGGGGGGTCTTCTCCGGGTTTTGAACTTGCAAACACAGAACCACCTGGCAGTTGTGATGCCACATGAAAGCTGAAGCCATAACTCCCCCTGGGTCCCTCTGGCCAGCTGGGCGCCTCAGATGAGAGTTGCACCCAGGGCCACACCATCTGCTATTGGCTCACCTGCTGCTACATCCTCGCAGCCAGAGCTAATGGCCCAGATGGCAACCACTGCAGCTGGTGTGGCTGTGGGCTCTGCTGTCAGCCCCACACTAGCTCATGCCATTGCTGGGGCTTCAGTGAGGAAGTAATGCTGAGTCCTCCAGGCCTGACCTCACCCGGGACCCTCAGGGAACTCAGCCGGTAACCACCACCAGCAATAGCAACAACAGACTAGCCTGGTCACCACGAGATGAAGCAGTGTTTGCCGTGTGCCCAGAACCAGGGAGACCTAAGGGAAGTGCTGAGACAGTGCCATCCTGCAAATGGATTAGCCTCATCAAGAAGTTCAAATTGAAGACATGAGAAATCATCTCTCATGATCAAGTTCATTTAGTATAAAAAAAATAATTCATAGTGAAAGTATAAAACTAACAGTTAAACCTCTCCTCCATCATTATTAATTTCCTTGCCTCAGAATTGCAATGGACCCGGCCAGTCTGCTCAGTGATTGAACATTGACCCATGAACCAAGAGGTCACTGTCTTGATTCCTGGTTGATGTACATGCCCAGGTTGTGGGCTCTATTCCATGCGGGAGGCAGCTGTACATGTTTCTCTCATAGATTTTTTTTTTTTAATCTTTCTCTTCTTTTCTCTCTCTCTAAAAACCAACCAAACATTTTAAAAATTGATTTCAGAGTGGGAAGGGAGAGGGATGTAGAGAGAGAAACATCAATGATGAGAGAGAATCATTAATCAGCTGCTTCCTGCACACCCCACACTGGGAATTGAGCCTGCAACAGGGACATGTGCCATGACCAGGAACCAAACTGTGATCTCCTGATTCATAGGTGGAAACTCAACCACTGAGCCATGCTAGCTGGGCAAAACATTAAGAAGAAGAAGAAGAAGAAGAAGAAGAAGAAGAAGAAGAAGAAGAAGAAGAAGAGGAGGAGGAAGAAGAAGAAGAAGAAGAAGAGAAGGAGAAGGAGAAGAGAAGGAGAAGGAGAAGGAGAAGGAGAAGGAGAAGGAGGAGGAGGAGGAGGAGGAGGAGGAGGAGGAGGAGGAGGAGGAGGAGGAGGAGGCACTAGCTGTGGATACAAGAATTCAGTGGAGGGCCCTAACTGGTTTGGCTCAATGGATAGAGCTTTGGGCTGCAGATTGAAAGGTCCCAAATTTGATTCCAGCCAAGGGCATGTAGGAGGTGTGCAAGAGGCAGCTGATCGATGTTTCTCTCCCATTGATGTTTCTGTCTCTCTATCCCTCTCCCTTCCTCTCTGTAAAAAGTCAGTAAAATATATTTTTTAAAAGAAAGAATTCAGTGGAAGGAGTTGGATCGGCTTAGATAATTCCAAGGGCTTCAGGAAGGTCTCATTTGAGGCAGGTCTTGAAATAGGGAGGTGGGACTTCGAAGGCTCACAGCTGGAGAATTAGGATAGGTCAAGACACAGTTTGCTTTAATGCATCTGGAATGCACATAATACTAATAGTGAAAATAATATGATAATGACGATGATAGACACATAACGAGAGTTTCCAAGGTGTCAGAGAATGCGCTAAGCGCTCAGCGTGAATCAGCTCACCTCCCAGCAATCCTAGGAGATAAATCATTCGAGTCCTTTTGGCTGCAAGTCACAGAAACCTCAGCTCCGCTCAGAGATAAGGATTCTCTTGGCTCACATAGCGGAATATCTGGTCGTAGGTTGGGCTGCGGGCAGCGTTTGGTCATCGTCTGGCTCCCTCTCCCATTTCTCAGTGTACTTTCTGGTCCTGCCCTCCCCACGCATCAGCTTCATGTCCCCTCAGACTGCAGGGTAGCACGCCCTCTACCATCCTGGAGAGAGGGAGGCCACACCCCATGGCTTCCTACTAAGAGACAAGGAGCTTCTTTTCTAGAAGCCACAGCAACCTTTTTCTAGAGTCTTGCTGGCATTAGTCGTGACTGTTCCTAAACCAGCTGTCAGCAGTGGTGATGGAACTAATATTAGCCCAGAGCATGGCCCAACACTGCCAGTCTGGGAGGGGCCCAAGACTGGCATTACTAGCAAGTTCCCAGGTGATACTGCTGCTGATTCTACAGCTACTGTTGATGCATGCTGGTCTGTAGAGAGCTCCTGGGAAGGCACATGGGCATTTCTTTAAATTGTCAGCTGACTCCAGGGTGGTTTCTGGAAACACGTTCTGCCAAAAGGCAGAAGGGTTATCAGCTTGACCTTCATTTCAGCCCAGGTGCCAGGGAGTGGGTTTTATTATGTAAATCCAGCCAAGCACCAGGAACAAATAGAAAAACTTCCTGGTATCTGGGGGCATAAAACAAACACGTTGCATCAGCTCTAAGTCGCTGTCTCTCTATCAGAAGAGGGCAGTGATCCCCATCCGGTCCCAGCTTTTTCCTTCTATCTTTGTGTCTGTCCTTTTCTTTCATTTTTCTCAATCCCCAGCTGTACCTACTCAGGAACTGGATCTGCTCTGTAGCCCCGCTGGATGCGGAAAAGAGAGAAATAATTACACCGGTCTCATCTGCTGGGATGGCACAGAGGTCAAGCTAAACGCCTTCCATGGCCGTCGTCACCTCTGGTGTGCACATGAGGAGACTGGGGCTGAGAGGGTGCAAGCATCAAAGGTGTTCCAACCCCAGCAGCCTTATGGGAAAGCCCGTGCTCTTCACTGCTAACCTGAGGCCCTTTACTGCAGCTGCCCCAGCAGTGGGTATGAGAGGGGCCAGACAGGCTGCAATTATACCCTGAGGGTTTTCAAAGCCAGACAAAGGAGTTTAAACCTGAAACCATGGGCAATAGGGAGCCATCACAGGTTCCTGAGGGGAAGTGTTTTATAAAGATTGGTCCAGAGGTAAGACTTCTATTTATTTTTGATATGCAATGCAAGTAATAGTTATGCCAAAAGTCTGTTTTTGTTCCTGGATTACAATGAAAGTCGACTTCACTCTCTCTCTCTCTCTTTCTCTCTTTCTTTCTTTCTTTTTTTTAACGTCAGGTGGAGATCTGACTGTAAAAAGTCTCCCTTATGCTTGAGTTAAGATTCACACTGTAAGCAGCAGAATCCAGCTCTAACTGCTTGAAGCAGAAAGGGAACTTACTATAATAGACAGCATTCAGGCAATGCTCAGAATTGCAAGGAGGGCTAGAGAACCAGAGTTTGAGGTAGAGCAGCCAGGAACCGTGCCCAAAACCATGGTGTGGAAAACCGGAATCCTCTGGAGTGGAACTAAGCACCAGACACTACCGTGCTAAGTGTTAGGGCAGGAACAGACTTACTAAGATGGCCTCCCCTCCCCTCTTCTGTGCCAGGAACATGGTCTGGTTCTCCTGCCCTGC